CATCCGATTTCCACCTTCCCAGACGTCTGATTCGTATACCGTTTTTGTTATCCCTGAAAAAAAACAGCGAAACACTATATGTACACATGTCGATTGTCCCATATCACCAATACTCTTCCCTTTACAGTGATGGTGAAATGAAACACACATTGTATTAACAAATCAGACATAGTTTGAGTAAAAAATACTAATTGTTCAACCCAGAATTACATCTTCCTAACTTGAGGTGTATCAATTAATAGTAGTTGTATTTCTATTATCTCCAGAAAAACGGAATAAAATGGAACCGCCAAAGTCTCAACTTGGTCGTGCTAATGTAATGTACATTGCCAGATCTGATGATAAACACAAATGTGGGGAATTCGGATCACAGAACAATGCTTATGTTATACTAGATGACGGTACTGAATGGTGTGCCCGTTACAAGAAGCCATGCTTTATTTTAGGTAAGGCACTACATATATATATATATATATATATATATAACAACCATTCATTCGATGATAAATGAAGATTTCAATTATCATGTGTACATCTCCATTTCTCTGTATCAGAGCGTTATAAATATATTTTTTCCGCCAGGGAATATTAAGTGTCTATTCAGCAAATGTGTGGTATAGGTATAAGCGTGTTCTGTTCATATTCTATTCTAATTAAAGTCTAATGTAACCATGGATTATATAAAACAAATGTCCAATCATATTGATGTATCCTTGAGACTGACATAGTAATGCACAATACGGTTATCCCTAATATTCAGGTGAAGTTATGGCTTACATGTTTACTAAGTGGATGTGCATGAATTATATACCACCACTGATTCTAACGAAGCCAGATCCAAGAACCCATCTGTGGGGTTCCAAAACAGTGAAGAAATTTATGAAAGAGCACGAATGGAATTCAAATAATACAATTAGCATGACTCAGTGGCTTCCAAGTATTAAACGAAGGTTAGTTATTAATGTTGTACTTCTACATCTATGGATTTTGTAGTTGTAGTATTAATTATTATCCGCTTTCAGTCAGGTTATGAGAGAGCTCGCACACAAGTAATTGGAGTATTTAAAGAAACATTGATATCTTGCTCCCATGTTGTTAATCGAAAAGCGTGGGATTTTACACACTGATGATGAAACATCCATAAAGCATATGTCAATCAGTGTGCGTCACGATCGAGGGCCTAAACATAAATTTTAAAATGACAAATGATGGGCTTCATCTTCAACAAATTCAATTGTAGATTTGCTCATTAAATATCATCTCTCTATTGACAATGATATGCTCCATAGTGTGGGTCAAACATCTTTTTGTCATCTTCCGCTTCTTTTTTTTTCAGCAAGGCACCACCCATTATAAATACCAATAATGGTCTCATACACGTGGATAACCCCGCATTTAAAAATATCACAGAGCAACAAATCCTGGATTTGATGGTTTACAGCGACACTGTTGTTATTGACAACCTGATGGGTGTTACTGATAGGTTAGTGCCTTACGTGGTATTTGTTCGATCATTTCCCTCGCCACAATCAATATGAGCCTTATTCCATAACTTCATTTGCATACACACTTTTCACCACCCCCAATATAATTACTATTATACTAGTTTTCTTTTATTTTAGGGTGCTTGCGATGTACTTACAGAAACCTTGCCCTCAACGGTCAATTCGAAACTGTTTTGTTGATGAAAATAGAAACACCTGGTGGCTAGACAACGAAGCGGCTTTCCTCATTGGCTACCTTAAACAGTATGTGCATTATGTTCAATTGAATGAAACTTTGAAAACTGTCTGCATTTTTCGGCGCCAAACAGTTTCAAAGATTATACAACTACATCAGATAAAGGACGCGCCACTTCTACTCTGGAAATTAGTCGGAAAATACAAAAACATTATTGGTATTGACTGGATTCCGGGAACACCGATGACCTGTGAATCTAACTCTTATATAAGATGGGCCGAGCTGTTTAAAGAGAGAATAGAAGATGTATACAGATGGATTGTCCGTTGTTCTAAAGATAAATATGAATCCTTGTTGAATGAGTATCAGACAAATCTCTAAACACATAATATCCCCATCTCTGCATAGTGTATATTATTTAACCAAATATTTCAATAAAGGCAACCATACTGCAATACTATTGAAAGGCAATTTGTTTTCCAACTGAATTCGTTTGAAGAGATTCATCAATTATACGGAATATACTCATTTCAATTATTTCATTTATTGTTAATTGATGTCTCATACTAATGCAGAACCCTTGTGCATGAAATAAACCCCTAGGTTTTTAGGATCTATAACGTTTGCTACTGTTGCATATACGCATTTATTTTTCATTTGGTATCCACTATCATAAACTAAATCAGTTATTAAGAATTGTATTGCTTTGGATGTGGTATGTAAGTGTTTCGTAAAGCCGTTTCAACAAGTTTGTCAACGTCTGATGGTATAAGCGTAACCCTATCTCAGCTAGCTGAAGTATTATAGAGCTACACTATTATAGTGATATTTTCACAATATAATATTTTCTCATTTATTTGCTGTTGGATATTGTGCAGCACAATTGCGTTTCGCAATATTATATTATTAAAATACACTTACTTTATTCCAGTGCCATTTATGTGTGTTGTTTATAGTGTATAGAAGAACATGATTGATTAGTGTACTTGTCTAAGCGGTTCAAATTGGTCTACCGTGATTATGGCCGGAAAATGTTGAATGGTATATGGCATTAGTTTACTATATTTTGATTACGAAATTGAATTATTTTTGCAGCCATCACAATAAGTAGGGTTTGGGGATGCATTAGTAACTTAATTATTCATTTTAGGATCAATTCTAATTGTAGCATGTCTCACGGCCATGTCTTTATCAATCATTTCAAACATTGTCGAGTTCAACTCCACAACCAACCCGCGTGACGTCAGACTCGTCGGATGTGAATGTCATTCGCCGTGAGTCCAGTTCGATTTCCGGAAGGTAAATTTAATGTACGTGTATATTATAATAAAACCAAAACCAGCAGTCCAGCAAAAAAGACGAAGAGTGTGTGCAAACAATTCTTCACAATCTCAACTGTGTGAGCGTAGGCAAACTCCTACTGCCATTGGCGCTTGAATATCATGATTCGATCCTTCCAATGCATGGCCAATCATTCGGAGTTGTAAGAATGTAGGCGAATAGCATTATCACAATCTTGAATTCAATATTGCAGTCACGTTATCGACTGTTGTAATGTATTGTTGTAAACGCCATAATATTAGAATTACAATTTAGTTTGCTTTTATAATGTCAACTGCATTACGCCTCTCTCAACCGAATCACCCAGTTTAAAACGTAAAAGGATGAAAAGCAACATTTTAGCGTTATTTACGGATAATAAATAAATACGAATAATATGATTTCCAACTCGTGACCGTGTGATATCAAATGTATTAAACTCATGTAGTAATATATGCAAATTCGACACTTGTTTAATAAATTCGGTTATCAAGTGATATTTCACGTGAGATTATCTATACATCATCAGTGTGTGATTAGGATTGAAGAGTTTAAATTAAAGTAATTAAATGTTCGAGACACGTTGGAGCTTAAAACTAGCCGTAACCAAACTCCCACGAATTGAAGAATGTAATGCGCAGTCACGTGACGGAAATAGAACACATAAATACTGAACACGCAATTATCAGATGGAATAAATTTGATAATAAATCTCAACAGACTTAAAATTACAATAAATCATGAAATATAAAAATACTATAATCAATAATCGGTAATCCCGGGAATAATAATGCGAGAGGAAGGTCAATAGATCACATGGAACATTCTGGTGTCATTACACTCAAGAGATTCCTTATTTAGTATTTATGTTACTTTGTGCTGCTCGATCAACTTGTCCACCAATGTCGGCATTCCAGGAGCTGTGGCCTTCGTCATTTTTGAAGGCATGTCATTGACGGCGCCTGCTCACGCAGCATCTCCGGCTCGTATATTACGCATCGCGCCATTCGTACTGTATTTTATACGTCACTGTCGACCAACTAATATTAACGAATCAAAGAACGTTTTACAATACACGCGAGAATACATCGATGATTTATTCTTGCACTCTCAGCGGACGCACGATGGGTAACAGACCATGATTTATATGCAGAACCACGCCCTCAACTAGAGGAAATTGAATGCGGAAATAGTTTGACAATTTCCCGCGTAGTTATTATAAGCAATTTTAGGGCGAAATCTTATGGTGTTTTTAGGAGTAAATATGAATAGTATAAAATATAGTTTTAGCATTTCAAACAAATTTGACGACTCTCCTACTTCATGACATTTAGGGCGAGAATCATGACAAAACATGATTTCGGGGTAACATTTATCAAGAATGATTTAATATTCTAAAACTCGCAAAATTCCATTATTGAAAAGAAGAATGTACATCTCGTCAAATCCATTGAGATGAATATATATAATATATGTCGATATACAAATAAGCACGTTTTAGCCATATTATGTATCTATGTGCACGGAGACATTGAAAAGTACCACGTTACCATTGCTTTATAACAGCACTGGCATCTTGATTAATGTCTATTTCAGGTAGTCGAATATATTTTGAACGTAAGTTTAATTTTGATTTGAGGGAATATTGGTGTTTCGAACGATCGCATTAATGCTAAACAATAAACGAAAGCGTCGAATATGCGGACATTCTCATCAATAAATAACACACAATTACTTAATCCAGTACACGAGTACTTGTAATTATATATTCTATTCGAGGTAATGTGATCAGAATCCATACCTTTCTCTCCTATTCACAATTATGCAAATTAAGAGTGAAGCATAACGAACCCACAGATATTAATATTCTCAACATAATTACATAAAATATACATAACACAAAGTCTGTAAATCTGAACAATGTATGTGACATTTTGGACGATGACTACTTCCTTATGAAGAATCAGTTGGCGGAAGATTAGTATTTAAACGCTTCTTAGATCTGGTTTGTGGTCTATACTGGTAGTTTCTGGTAGAGGTACATCTCTGTAGGATCAATGGTGTCCATTGCGAATCATTTTCAATTTTTATAGTAAGCGAACCCCCTAGTGTGCAGACTTCCGCAGTTCTACGTTGTCATTTCCTGTTCCGATACAATTATATTTTCAGCTGGCCTACCGGATAATTTCACCATGATCGCATTCAATATATTTTTGATTGTAGCTTACGCACAAATCTCATTCATTGGCATGCCATCTGCATCACCGCACTTTTTAACCTTCAAACTTATATTTTTATATTTCTGTATTCATGTATTTGTTCAAACCCATCCGCCATATATAATAACATATATCGTTTATGCCAGTATGAATATATCATATGTCAAGGTGTGACCTCTAAAATTATTATAATCCTTAGTTGATGTGTCGCGTAGAGGTTAGCGTGTCCAGTGGGTTTGATTCCCATGGAACCCAGCTGTACTCTCATCAGTGAAAAAGAATACAATGTGAATATCACTGTTTCAAAATACAACAAATTTTAGTCCACATTTTAATATCACTTGAAGTGTATTATTATAGTTGAACACATTAAGTGTTTGTAAATGCAAAAATGTTGTATTACGATAATACAGTTTTAAAACATTACATGTTCACTGATTTGGGTAAAATATTTGAAGTTTACAAGCTTTCTCCCACTTGAAAAAACACTCGAAGTGTTTACAATTTTCATAATTATGAAAAAATGTAATATTTATAGATCATTGGCTTATGTGTAGCTGAATAAGTAAGTTAGTTGAAATTCAAACTTTTCGTGAAACTGTAGAACAGATAGATGTAAAACAGATGAGTAATGAAGTGAAACAAACATTAACGTCTTTAAACTATTTTTTTTATTGATTATATATATATATATATATATATATATATATATATATATATATATATATATATATGAACGCGCCCAATCTCTTCTTCTGAGGTATTATTGCGTTGAATGCAGTCTCTCCAAGCAAATTCCTGGGAAAAAGAAAAAAATAGAGGGACAACGTGCTCACTAGAAATAAATTTACTCTGTTCAAAATTGATCCCATTCTCACCCAATTCACGAATCTGCGTATATGAATTTCATTTCGTTCACCTTTTACTTTTCTATCCGTCCAATATTTTGATTTTTTATTTATTTTTACTGTGTTTAAATATAATTTATGAAACCGAACTGTGTGGTATATTAAAGGTATATTTACCTAGTGCGGAGGACGATATTTGCAAAATCTCGACCGCTCTAACCAAACCAAACTAAACCTTAATTTTTCTCTTAAATCTGAGAATACGCTCCGAATGGATTTTAATTGTATCCGACATATCAGCGGCCTCCAACCAAGTTTTATTCGTTTCTGAGACTAAATCAAATACATTCCCGCGTCAACAAAGTGTCTGAGTGGGTTGTTAAACAGTGGCTCATTAAGAATATCAGTTACGTTATTATCATTGAATTTACACACTTTATCTACAGATTTCCAACACTGGAGAAGTTCACAATAAAATAATGGCAATCTATGTAAAGGTGTTTTGATAGTGGACGTGCATAGTAGTTGACTTGCATATGACATATTGCTCGCTTGCATAAAAAAGTAGTCTGTGAACTTAAAACAGAGGTGGTCATGATTATTATATAGATAACTTTGAATATAGGAATGTCGCATGGTACTTATGTGCGTTGGAAGATATGTAACATTTTGTCCACCCTTTTCCAAGGGGAGGTACAGTGTTGCGGCAGATACCCAATGTCGCCCTTGCCAAAAGATATCGAGCAGCATTTTCTGTACCTTCAGAACTACGTCCAATGGCGGCACAATGATATTAAAGCGGTACAATAACTGCATAAAATCAGATTATTAATAATAAAAGCGCGCGCTCTGTAAGACATGCTGTGAACAAAGTGATTACAGAATTGGAAGTTGGTCTTATTATTTACTTTTGCAACATGTTCAGCCCAGTTTTGATTCGTAAAAGTTGGATTATTCCCAAGATAAACACCCCACAGTTTCAACCCATCGCTGT